TTTTCTACTCCTTCCCTCTTTTCCAGTGGCAGTTCCTGAGGCATCTCCTGGAATGTGATTTGAAAACTACCAGGGCAGGTACCACTTCAGAAGAAGGCAGGGAGACTCTTTCTGAGAGTGACAGTTGAATTGAGATCCAAGAGGAGCCAGAAGGCCATCTGGCATGAGAACAGCAAATGCAAAGGCCCTGAGGTAAAATATGCTTAGTAAGTGTGAGAAACAAAATGCTCTCTAGTGTGGCTGCAGTGTAGCTCGCTATAGAAGTCAAGGTGGGAAACTCAGTCACAGGTAGGTGGAATCCACTTAGGTAAGAGCATATGGGTAGGCTACAGGAATTTGGATTGCATTTATTGGAACCTATTGAAAGGAAATAATCATCAACTGATTAAATTTTTAAAATATCACTGGCACTATATGGGACAAAAGTAGAAGGCAGGATGCTAGTGACCTATTACAGTGGCTCATGTGAGAAATGATGGAAACTTGACTTGGGTGATAGTGGTGAACATTTCGCAGTTGAGGTGCAGGGAGGTGCAGGGAGGGGTGTGTGGCATACTGTCTCATCTCAGACATGGATTTCTAGGACAGTGGGGCACTGAGCAGGTGAGGACCCCCTCCTGTTTGTTTCCTGCCAATATCTCGTTTTTCTGTCAGGACCCACTCCCACGGGAAACCCTCCCTCATCCAGCATTACTGTCTGTATCAGAGTTACTCTTTTCCTAGCACTGCTAGACTTGGGAAGGACCTTAAAATCATCTCTGATTTCACAAACGAGGGGACCTTGAGCTCAGCTGATGATAAACTCAGCTATCTTAACCCCTAGTCTAGTACTATTCTCCTTTCATCCTCACCTTTTCATTTATGCATGTCTCTATTCCTACTAGGTCATAAGCTCCTTTCTTTAGCTTTTTATTTTAGATTTAATTAAAGATTCTTAAGAGCAGGGATCATGTCTTATTCTCCCTTGTATCTTGATAGCATCTAGTGTAGTGCTTGGTTCAAATATAGAAGTTCAACAAATATCTGCTGATCATCTATTCTGCATTCTGTGGAGCCCACTACCACAGGAAATTCCCCCACCCTATCACAGACAACCTGTGCCTTCTCCAGGCCCGACATTGCTTAGTACAGCCACTGCTGCCAGCATACTGCCTGGCCAGGGTGACACTTGGCACTGCTCACGGCCGTGTTCACAACACAGACGAGATCCTTGTTCCCTGATGGAAGGGATTGGGAATTGAGTCCTTTTCACTTAATTGTGACACTGTAACTCTGATTAGTATTGGGGTATGGCTGGAATTAGGCCAAAACCCATAAACCCAAGTTGGGGGGAGGGTCTACGAAGAAGGCGTGATTGTGCATTATCACTATTGCCTTTCTTGGACTCATGAAGTGCTCATGAGAATCCCAATGACAAAGTCTAAAGACCTAGCCTCCAAGACCATGGTTTACAACTTCATATTTCCCATAGAGAGGGCTGAATATTGACTTTCCTGAACAGAAGCCCATTGTATGTTTCAGCAGCTCTTGGCAGCCCTGTGCTATTTGCCCAAAGAACTGCTGCACTTTTAGTGAACGAAGGAGGCTGAGTCCTGGGCAGTGATAGATATTGCTTCCTTTCATTGACACATATTTTCCAAAAAAGGCATTTAAAATCTGCATTTCACTCCCCAGAGGTCCTCACCTAACTCCAGTAAGTGAGTGGGGAAAGTTCTGACACCCTGAACTCTTTGAGTTCACTACCAAGCTACAGGCAGAATTGTGTAAATCACATCAGAGAACTCAGTCACGCAGGGCCCTTGCCCCCTGTTTTCCTTCTCCCCAACTCTCCAGGACTGGATTGATGTTTGTCAAAGGACATTGTTGCTTAGACTGTCAGAATGCAGTGCTTAGGAAGAGAAGAGAATACGTTATTCACGTGGTTCACTTCTTGAGCATCTATATGCCTGCATCTGTCCATTTATAATTATTAAGGTACATTTTCCAATTTGAATTTATAAACAGAGAAGTACATAAAAATATAAATCCTTGTTCACAACAGAAAAGAGTAGCATATGTGGAAACAAACAAAGCTTGTTCCAACTCTTCCATCTTTGTGGAGGAAAATGTCCTAGCAAATTGCATAGATGGCCTGCTGAAAAGATCATTTTAAGTGAGAACCATAAGATTTTCATGTCCATGGGAGTATTGATGAGAGGAACTTTGGTGGTGGTGGTGGGGGCGTTATGAGACAGTGTCTCCATAGGCACTTGAGGCTGTCTGAACTCACCATGTAGCCCAGGCTGGCCTTGAACTCACAGTGATCCTCTTACCTCAGCCTCCCAGTGCTGGGATTATAGGCATGCGCCACCACACCTGGCGTATGACAAGAAAAATTTTTTAAAGGTTCCAGAATCACAGAACAATTGGCAGGAAGATGTCTGTGTTAGTTAGCTTTCAATCTTTGTAATTAAATACCCGAGGAAGCCAACTTCAGGGCAAAAAGATTTGCTTTGGCTCATGCTTCAGAGGTTTCAGTCCATGGTTGTCTGGCTCCATTGCTTTGAGGCAGATGTGAGACAGAACATCATGGCAGTGGAAGTGTACTGAGGAGGAAGTTGCTCACCTCATAGCTGCCAGGAAGCAAAGAGAGAGGGGAAAAGCCAGAGAGAAAGAGGCCAGGGACAAGATATACCCTCAAAGCCACGCCCTTAGTGATCCGCCTCTTCCAATTAGCCCCACCTCCCAATAGGCCATCTAGCTATGAACTCATCAATGGGCTAATCCATTGATGAAGTTAGAGACCTCATGATCCTGTCACTTCCCAACCCTTCCCATCTCTGGACACTGCTACACTGGGGACTAAACCCCCAACAGATGAGGCTTGAGGGACATGTCATATCCATACCATAACAATGCCCATATTAACACTTAACAAGATGTATGTTATCAAGAAGTTGAGGGGCCGGGGATTTAGCTCAGTGGTTCCGCCACCTGCCTCAAAAGTGCAAGGTCCCGAGTTCGATCCCTGGTACCAAAAGAAAAAAAAAAAAAAGAAGTTGAGTTATTCCCAATTGGTATTTAGTTCCACATGGACCTTATCTCTCCACTCACCATTTGTCACCCACATCCATTGTGTCTTGCCCAACCTGCTGGCAGAATGTACCATCAAAGTATGTACATCAAGCTTTTTCAGCCACAGGTGGCTTGAGAAGACTACCACTTCTTTGCAATAGACATTCTCTTGAAAAACTAATCCTTGGACTTAATAAAGAGAATAGTGCCACTGTTAATGAGAACAAAGGTCCCCATTTTCCACAGTATCCTACACAGATATACATTCTGTCAAGCCCTCGTGGGACCTCTGTCACATCCAGAGCTTTGATTTATAAGGTGCTAACTCCATCCATATCCCTAGCTCAGAACTTTCTATCCTGCTTCAGATCCATGTTTCCCAGTGCCTCAGTCCTCCCAAGGCAGCTCAGATTTAAATTTATGCCACTGCTAGATGACACTGCATGTGCACACTCATGCGTACACACACGCACACACACACACACTTGTCCTGTCCTAAAATCTAGGAATTATATCATTGCACACTCAATGATAGTTTCCCTGGCCAGCAATTGGAGGCATAACAGCAATGTGTGAAACATGAGCAGGCCAGCTTAGATTTGTTCAATTTGGATTATTTGAAACTGTCAAGACACACTTTGCTTTTGTCCTGCCCCCTCTGCTCAATTGCTGTCCCTTTATTTGCACCCAGAGGGGGCATCCCACACACACACACAGTCTCTCTGCCCTGACACAGGATTCCAGCAGGCTGCTCCACAAAAGTCGTCTGAAAAACTTTCAAAAAACAAAAGATTCCCATGCTTTCCCCTAAGAGACTCTGATTCTGAAAGTCTGAGCTGAGAATTGTTCCGTCCTGGGAACCACCAGAGAATTCACTTTGAGCTCTGGGGTAGACTGTAAGGGAACCTGGATGCTTTGTAACTCCTGCAAGTTTGAGAACTCTATTCTCACAAGTGATATTGGTGCCATGTGTGCATGCATACAGTTGTAGACACACACGCACAGATGTGCACACTTATAATGCACTTCAAATGCACATATGTGCACACGCACCCACAGACAGACATACAGACACACAGGACATATTTTAGTTATACTACGTTTATAGCCAATACTTAATGACAATACTTTCAGTTGTCTCTCCAAATAGTCATTCTGAAAACAAGCATTCACTAAGCCATTAGAGTCTTCAGGCTCTGCACCCACCTTACCAGAGCCTCATATCTGCTTGTTGATGACTACTACATTAGCCTCCTAGCTGTGCCCCTAACTCTGGACTGTCCTCTGTACTTCTGCCTTAATGTCCTATGGAAATGCATATTGCAAAGGATCTCAGAGGGTTAGTTTCCCAAGGAGAATACTTTGGGAAATGTTGTCTTATAGGAAACAGGATTTCCAGGAGTTGGAAATTTGAGAAGACAAACTGAGCAGGAACATTTTCTCTTGGTGGCCAAAGAGTCATTGGTGAATAGATGATAAGAATACTTGATATTATATAAGATGTTCTATATAAGAAAGAAAAAAATAAATTTTTCCTATTAAAGAAGTTCCAAATGAGATCTTTCCTGTGTCTCCAAAGAAAGACAATGAATTCAAAGTGCTTTAGAAAAAGAAACCGAATGATCTCCTGCCTCATTCCATCCTACATGAAACGCTATTGAGACATTTATTTGGGATACTTTCCCAAATAAGAGATTTCCTGAATTTGTCAAAGACTGGGTGATTATTAGGGAATAAGGAAGTGATGATCACTTATTCTTCTTCTCCCTGTGAATACTTTCAGATGGTGCCGTTGGTAGTAGCCTGCTCTTACTTGGATCTCCTCACTTCTCCTACTCAAGAAAATTGAAAATGTAATAATCCTAACTTCTCTCTTTCTCTCTCCTTCTCCTTCTCCCTTTCCTCCTCTATGTCCCCACCCCGTATTTGTTTCCTTTGTTCTCCAGGAACCTTCTGCATCATTTCACTGTGTACCTGTGTGGCTGGGATCAACTTCGAGCTGTCGCGCTACCCACGATACCTGTATGGACTCCCTGACGACATCAGCCATGGCTATGGATGGTCCATGTTCTGTGCATGGGGGGGCCTGGGACTCACACTCATCTCGGGATTCTTCTGTACCTTGGCCCCCTCTGTTCAACCTGTCCCGAGGACCAACTGCCCTAAATCCAGACCCGAGAATGGGACAGTGTGCTAAAAAAACAAACCCATACACACACACACACACATATATATATATATAAATATATATATAATATACATATATAAAACAAAGCTAAATCAAGACGACGCCAGTGCCAAGGTAGAGTTGAGTTGGCTCAGGCACCTGCATCTCACCGGACTTTGTGTTGTTTCATCACCAAGATGGGGACAGTGTTCCCATCCTGTGGCTCTTCCATCAATTCTTGACTTTTGGCTTCATGGTTTCTTGAAGACAGAGCAAACGCCACCACTTGTGATAGCACCTTGATCCCCGTCACTCTTGAGGATGTGGTGGTGAGCTGGAAGGGACAGTGGCAGTGGTCTGAAGCAACCCAGGTGTAGAGAAGGAAGTGTCATGCTCTGGGCCAGCAAGAGAGGACATCACCCCCCATTCATCTCCCAGGGAAACGTGGCCCCTAGTTCACAGAATGTAGCCACGTCTCTGAGGCTATTTCAGAACCATTTCATTTTCTGCTCTTCCTGTTCTGAGCTCCTTCTGGCCCACCAGCGACACACACGGAATGGATGAGAAAACAAACAGGAAAGCAAATTTTCTCTTTGTGGCCAAACTTTTGGACAAAGTTTGAGAGGTGGGAAGGAGAGAGAACACTCTGAGAGGCACGATCCACATCGATAAAAGGACACTTCGGTGGATGCTCAGAAAACCCAGTCTTACCTTCCAGCTGCCTTACACCAGTTAAACAAGAGGCCACCCTGTCCTCCCTGCTGCACTCCCTGGGCAGATCGGAGCCTTGGAGTAATGCTGTGATGTGTGTGTGTGCGCGTGTGTGCTTGTGCGTGTATTTTGGGTGGTTTTCTTTTTCCTTTCCACCTTTTAAATGAAAATATTGCATTATGACTGTTGTCTATCACTGTAGTAGTTTTGTGGCCCAAGATGGAGGCCAGGAGACCTAAGAAGTACCATGAGGGGCCAGGCCTCTATGGGTGCCAACGCTGCAGCTGCAGATCTCTGAGGGGGGAGGGAGAGGGAGAAGGACAGAGGGAGGAATGAATGAATGAGGTGGATGTTTTCTGAGTGTGAGGCTTTATTGTTTGTGTTGCATTTTTAAAAAAATTATTTTTGGTACAGCTCAAATTCCCAGAGGGCAGAAACGAGAACAAAACCACTGGGCCAGAGGACCCTATGGTTCTTCACATTGCAGTCTGGGACGCCACAGGATTTAGTCCTCTTAATTTTGGAAGTTCAAGACACAACTGGGCACAAAACCCATGAGAGAAGAGGGGGAACACACGGTTCAGGAGGGAGAAGGAATGTTGCCTCTGGTTGCTGTTGTACAAGTACGTATAACAAACAAGACCTTCACTCCCCATCACTGGGGCTGTCCTTTGTCACTGGACATCTACCCCTTTCCTAGGGGTGACCTCTGTACAGATGAAAGGAAATGGGTCACATGCAGAAAGCACCTCCATTTCCCATAGGCTCAAGTTTGTATGATACTGTGTAAATTTATGGAGAAATCTTGACTCTTTCCATCCTCCTCCTTTTCCTCTTGATATTCAAGGGCATGAATCCCAAAATAGCTGTCTTAGTGGCTAGCACCCAAACAGAGGCAGAATAAACCACCTGTCTCAGGCCCACTTGAGCAAATTGGCATCACAAGTGCCAGTGAGGGAAGTCAGCCAGAGAGCTGTGAATGCCTTAGGGCTGCAGCAGCTCACCATCACCCCAGAGGCCCAGCTGCTGCCGAGCAGCCCTGGAGGCATGACAGAACCCACAGCCTGGTGTAGCCATGGTCACACAGCGGAGCATCCGGTTATTTCATAACAAACATGCTTTGGGAACTTTGCCAACCACTCAGCAGCCTTCCTTCCCCATGTGCTCTGTTTCATCTACGTGTCTTCCGGCCTATCTTCCTGCCAGTCTCCCCCAGACCCCGCCCCTTTCTCACCTACTAACCTCTGACTTTCTCTTCTCTCCACCAGGCAGTAAGTCCTGCCTGTTTCATCTGCTCTTTTGGACTGTGTATGTGTGTAACACATACCCAGATAGGACATCTGATGCGAATGAATGGGTTTGATGTGGTTCTGTGTGAGTGCGTGCGTGTGTGTGTGTGTGTGTGTGTGTGTGTGTGTATGTGCGCCTCTATCTGGTGCATCTTTATGTTTGTATCAACTCAAGACTTCCTCTCCAGGAACCCTGGTCAGCTTCTGTGAAAGGTCCCATGCATGAGTGCCTGGGTATGGGTGTGCAGGGCCATGGGAGTGAGCTGGGAAGCAAGAAGTGCTATTGGCTTCCAGTTGAGAATTCTGGAGTTATTTTTTAAGACAAAGGATTTATTGTATGAGAAGGGAAATGATTTGCAAGAAAACCCAGTTTTTCCATTGGGAATTTTATTTTCTGTTTTTGTTTAAGGTTAGATTTCACCCTTAAGGGGAAGGGCATACTTGGGCTTGAGGAAAAGTGAAGAAAAGCAACTTAGATTGAGAGGCCTTGTATTTGAGACCCTTCCAAGCATCTCGAAAAAAAGCAGGGACAAGAAGGTGTCCACAAGCTTCCGTTTAGGTGAAGGGGATTGTCTGTGACTAGATGCAAATTCCAGTCATTTTCCAGTTGCAGAAAGGTAGAGGAAATAATTCTAAAGGGGATGATTCACTATCAACCATAACATAAGTAACCACATTTCAAGATACTGCCTCTTAGACCCATCATTATTTATACCTTTTAAAAATTCCATACTTAACATAAATAAGTCATGTGCTCTATCCAATTATTTAGCTTTGTGTCAGACCTTTGACAAAGCTTACTGCATCCCTTTGAAACTTGAACGTCCCTGAAATGTGTAAACCATCTGGCTCCACTCACAGTCAGCAACGCAGGGCCATAGAGTGGCTTTTTTGATAGTGGGTTCAGATGGGTACAAATACACGTGCTGGGGTCTACTCCTGCTTGGGTGCAAAAAACATTCCCAACCACATGGTCAGGGTGGAAGCCACTGTAGACCTGGGCCAATGGGAAAAATTCCAAGATGACTTTGATCTTTCACACACAGGGGTTTGACCACAGATAAAAACCTGCACCTCCAAGCTGTTACTGAAGGTTTCTGGCTGTGAGGTGGCTGAGAAAGAAACAATGGACAAGGAAGAAAAGATCCTTGACTTGTGAGGCTCTAGGTCAAATGCTACTAACTTCAAATCCAAGTCCCTTCTCAGGGGAGTTAGGACCAGTGGCCTCAGTAAGGCTCCCAGTTCCAATTCAGGTCAAGTTCAAATTCCTTATAGTTGTGTGTATGCAAGGTATATACTCAAGCAAGTGCTGCAAGCTCCATGCAAGCCAACCTCCTTCCTTCCCTACTACATTAGGGATTTGGGAGTCTGGGGTGTCTCCTAGAGAGAGGTCCTATTTCTTTTTTCTTCTTTTGGAAGGTGTGGTTTCTCTATTTCCTTTTCCTCTCTCCCCACTCACTTCTATTTTCCTTCTGCATCTGCTTTCATCAATTAAATAGTTAAATACTTCTTCTCTAGAGAATAGATAGATCCCAAGCAGTCTCTTTGTTTGTTGTGGCTGTAGGTTTCATGAGGAGGCCTGTGGCTCTCTGGCACCAAGATATAAAATGTAAAAAAACTGTGCCTCTTCCAGCTTCATCCCTTCCACAAGCCTCAGCCTTTCAACAACTCTACCCTTTCACCTCCAGGGATCATGAAGGCACAAAGACTGGACAGAATCAAGTGGGGACCAGCCTTTCTTAACCTCATGCCCCTATGCAGCACCCAGGGCCCTAAGTGCCATACTGGTGTAATCTCTCACTAGGGGTTAGTGGATCCACCCAGTGGTGCTGCCTTTCTTTCCATAAGAGGAGAGGATATTGTGATACTGTCTCAATATTTGTCCATACTCATGATAAGAGGCCCAGTAGGAAAGTACCACCATGTATGATTAACCCAATTTCATGGAAAGATGTGCCAGTTGGATCTCCAAAGCCACCTACCTGAGTCATATTCAAAATAATGAAAAAAATACAGGACTCAGAGGCATTTAGAATGGACAATCTTTACCTGGCTTATGCTGAGAGCAGTAACTAGTTTTCAAATATCTGTTGGAAGTGGTGGGAAGAAATACACCTGGTCATCCTTCAGTGTGGCTGGTGTGGGGTACTCGGTTGTTTCTTATAGTTCAAGTGAAGTTGGTTTTCTGTAAGTTTCCCTCTGTTCCAGGGACTAAGCATTCCAGTGAACACATCCAACTCTTTTCAGGGAAATATGATGAGTCAGAGTGAGAGCTGATTTTACCACAGATAGAAATAACTGGTGCCTACCAGCCGAATTGTCTTTGGTGCTGCCTTCCAGCTGGTATGTGACAGAGAAAAGGGACAGACTTTTAAGCAGGCCCACCAGAGGTGATGCATACAAATGATTCTGATGTCTCTTGAAGCAGTTGACTTCTGAGGCTGTATTTGTCTTCTTTTCATTGATGCTGCCGTGGTGCAAAAGGTTTTTGAAACATTATTCCTAGTTCTTAGAATATGTTATTGGTTATTGGGTTTTTTAAATCCAATGTAATCATGCACATTGTAGATTAGAAAAATAAAATGCAATACAAAGAATACAAGATTGGTCATAATTCTATCACTCTGAGATGTCATTAGTGTGCTCAATTTTAGTGGCCATAACCCCAAATCCTCCCCAGTGAGTGGTCGTCTTTGGATTGACAGATGGGGCTAGGACTTTGAATGGCCTCAGAATCACACTGGCCTGTATGGAGGAGCACAGGAGCAGCAGGAGCACAGGCTTCTGAGCCCCCAAGATAGCAAAGAGGCCTTTGAAAACTCAAAGCCAGACTTAGAGGGCAGGTGGAACAGGGCGAAAAGATTTCTGTTTGAGGGAATTTCTCTTTCTTCCTCTTGCTCTTCTTTTTTCCAGGTACCACCTCAATCTAATCATGGGTATAAGAGCACTGAAGCCAGAGTAAGTCACTAATTAAGCTCCACTTGTACAATGCAGTTACTGTAAATTTCATTTCCGCTCTGCACTAAAATGATTTGTGACTCTGGGCACTGTGTCTTCTCCATACTTGAACTTCCTCATCTACAAAATGAGGATAGTGATAACTCTTTACCTCATGGTATATTAAAGGTGACAAAGAAATTGCAAAGTGATTTGCAAACATGAAGTGTCACATGAATTATGCACTGATCCAATTATCCTGCAGCGGCAGAGTCCTCCCCACCCCCGAAAGGGAATTCTCCGCTGTAGACTCTGTGCCTCGCTGCTGAAGGGATAATCTGGAGAGAAAGGTCATCCTGGTTGCTGGTTGTACTTAGCCCACTGAAGCACATGAGATTTCTTTTTCCCTTCATTTGGGGACTCCAGGGAAATTGGCTCCTTCACTTACTTTATCCATTTCCAAACTTCCTTTGTCCAAAGCCAGTTTTGCAAGGGGTAATCTCACCCGTCTTGATTATTCCCAGAAGTGAGGCAACAAGTAAACCACATGAGGCAAAGAGCATAGATGAGCTGAAACAGTTGACTTTGAACCAAGGCGTGTGGTTAGTACCTTGTTTGTTATTAACAATTCTGGACATTATTTCTAGCTTATTAACAATTCTGGATGTTATTTCTAGCTGTACATGCCCAAGTGGTGGGAATGAATGATCCTGAAAGGTTTTAATGAGGTTTCAAGTTTAGGGTGGGCTAGGATCTGCTTTCTCTTGTCAGATGGCAAAGCCAGTGACTTCATCAGAAGCCTGTGGGTTTTTATAAAAGTTCCCTGGATGGCTCATTCACTAAGACGTTCCAAGTATGGAACAAACTGAGTCCTAGTTTCAAAATGAGACAAGAATCCACTTCCAAAAGGTTCCCCACACTTTCTGCTTTGCAGTGAATCAAACATCAATATTGTGTTGAGACTTTCCCTAAGGGGAGTCCAAGTCATTGTTCTCTTTATAATGACAGCCCAGCCAGTAATGGGGGAAACTGGCGAACTGCACGGGTGTTTGTCCAGTGTCAAGAAGCAGAACACTGCTTCAACCTGGGAGTTGCCCGGCGGCAGCTCAACCTGGTATCTCTTACAGATGCCAGCCTCCTACTCTTCACGCCAAGGATTGGCGCTGCTCCCTAGGGAACCCTGTGTCCCCCTCTCTCTCCTGGAACCCAAGCTTTTCCTTTCCTCTTCGGGTGGCCCAGAGACCCCCTCTCATCTGTGTGTGCTGGTGTGTCTGTGTCGTGAGAGTGATGAGGCCTTTCACACAGAGAGCTTTTGCAGACTCACCCTTTCCCGCTTCCACCCATGGTGTGACTGTTTTGCTACTCAAGACTATCTGTAAAAATGTACAAATAAAAATGGAAACTGAATATAAAGGGGAGGGGTATGGCAACTACTAAGATGCAATGATGTAGCCCTCAGTTTTCTGAGGACATTAAGTGGACTGCCCTAGAATCCTTCGTCTGGTGGCACTTGGAAAGAGGGACACCATGGTGAAGGAGACTTTTCTAATTGCTTCTCTGAGTCACTAGTGTCTGCTTAGAACTCTCTGTTCTGAAGGGCTTTGCCTTTTAAGAAAAATATATCTTCCAAAAAGCAAAAGCATATCATCCAATTCAGAAGGGTGGAGGTCGAGGCAGAGACCAACACAAAGACCAAATTCCGGGGTGGCGTCAGAAGCTTTGTCACTGGCTCACTTGGGCCTCAGGTGAGTCCTGTTACCTCATGCTGTCTCCGTGTCCTCTCAGCCTAATGGGCTAAGGGTCTCTGGGGACACCTGGACATTATGTCTCCTGGTCCATTCTGCTGCTATTTTCAGAGACTTTGTGCCCATGCTGGTTGGTGTGTGCTGACTGCCTTGAGGTAAATCTGAGAGTTTTTCTCCCTGCCACTCTTGCCCCACATTTTCACTCCTCAGAAAGTAACCTCAAGTGAACAGCCAGTTTGTGCTCAGAGTTCAAAGCCTTTTTGTCGACCTTTTTATTCTCAGATGCCTTTTCCCACCCACTTTGATGATCTCATTTTACTGTTTCTACTGACAGAGCTTTCTGTACTGGACTGGTAGGAGAAAGAGTATCAAAGGAAATGATGGATATGAACTGCTTTGTAATCTGTGACTCGCTCTACAAATGTGGCTCTCATAGTATCAGAAGCAGGGAGTCTGGCCAAGGGATACTACCAAGTGAGAATGAAGAGCGGTGGTGGTGGAGGTTTGGAGACCATGGTCTTCTGCAGGTTGGAGGTGGAGGTTAGATGGAGGGACCTTCCCAATAGAGAAGCAGCTGAATCACCAGAATGCCTTCAGTATAGCGACAGAGAAAGCTCCAAAGCTAAGAGGAACCAGGAAATGGGTAATCCTCCGGTACAAAGGGCTGCCTGCCCCCAAGACCACCCCAAAGAGGGGATCCACACCGAGCTCGCTCAGTGCCAGCACCCCTTCTGACTCATGGTTATAGGCACCTTCAGTCTAAACTTTCAACTTCTCTAATGGCCCATGTTGATCATCTCTGGGACCAGCTCCCACAAAGTGATTCTGACCACTACTGTCCAACAGAAACATGATATAAGCCACGTACGCAATTTTAAGTATCCTAATAGCCACATTTTCAAAAGTTCACTGAGACAGGTGAAATTAATTTTAATACTACATTTTAATCCAACATAGCAAAAATATCACCTCAATATGGAATCAACATAAGAAATTATGTACTTTTTAATTTTTTTCAAATGAGATATTTTAAATCCAATGTGCATTTTATGCTGAGAAAACGTCTCAATTTAGACCATCCACATTTCCTGCACATGGCTTCTGGCCACTACCTGGACAGTACAGATTTATTTTCTTCATTAGGAAATAAGGCAGGATGTCCCTTAATGGTGAGTCACGCATGTCATAGATTTCATCGTAGCTGACAGAGGCAGAAGGTGGGTTGGTTGAGATAGATAGCACACAGCTGTGTCCAGGCGTCTCTCTTGCTTTATCTGTTTAGTGAGGGAGACAGCCACAGCTGTGAACAGCATGTCACATCTGCCCCAGAGGGCGCCAGCCCTATCCCTGGGCATGGCCCTGAGGACCTGTCCTAGTCCTAGAGGGTAAAGCAGGTCATTTTCTTTGGCTGTAGGAGCATCAGCCACTGCCCTCTCTTATTCAGATGTCCTTTATCTCACAGGGAAGAGGGGCAGACAGGCCTTCTCTTTGTGAAGAGTAAAGCACTCCACAACCTTCTGAATCTGGTGGTTGGTCACCTGCTAAGAACACCTCACCAATAATTGGAGCTGTTTTCTCCATCCCTCAATTTCCTTACATTTTTATCTGACAATCGAATGTTAAAAAGGAGAAACACTGGGAAGAGTGGCAGCCACAAGCTAATGAGAAATAAGGTCTCCTAGGAGGTAGCAGTGACAAGTTCTATCCTTGTACTGTGACTTAGGCCACCACTGCCCACCTTTCTTTTCTACTTAGAGACCTCTCATAGGTTTGAAGAAACTTGTTCAGGGGGAAAACGATAAACAGTGAAATCTTAGTGTATAGAACAGAATAAAATACAAGCTGGGCATTCTCACAGCTTTTCGAAGAGCCAGTGTGACAAGGGTTTGATTCATTTATAATATTATGAGCCTTGTGTTACCAAGCAAGAGAAAACGAGCCAATTTGGTGAGTATGTTTTATATATGGTCATTAGACAAGGGCCATCACCGACAAAGCTCTCAAACACCTGGAGTGTTTATGGTCCACCAGATTATTGCTCCGTCAATATAAATTTACTTACCTTCACTTTAATTTGCATAGTGCTTTCTGATTGGTTAGATAAAAAGTGGTGTATACTGCAGGATTCTAAAAATGACTCTCCCCTTGGAGGCAGCAATTCCTGTGGATATTGGTGCTAAAATAAGATTAAATATTATGTTAATTTGTTCTTATGATGTGAATAAATGTATTGTTTAATCTTAACAAGAATGCTACATCTTATCAGATCTATTGTACTGTCTGTTCCTTCTCATAATTAATTAATTACAGGAAAGGTGATCCAAACCAGATCTTGAAACTCTTGTGATATTCTGAGAGCAATTTAGGAGGGAAGTGGGAGGGGGGAATGAAAAGGGAAATTGCCAGGTTCCTGTGACTTTGAAAGGACTGAGGAAGCAGAGAGCATTTGGGGACTTCACTGAAACTGACTGCATCTTGCAATTTTCTTTTTCAAATTGGCAGAAATACTGTATTTCCATCGATTGAAGAAAAAAGTGTCTGGTAATTAATTAAATGACTTGTTCATGGAAAAAATAAAAATAAATAATCTGTCAGTTGTGGAATGTAAACTGATTAAACAATTAAATAAAGAAGATCATGTTGTGTGTTTTAAACAATGGTGTCTTCTGTCTGCTTGAGGGTTATGGGATGTAGGGAGTACAGAGGCTGCCATGTTTGATAGAGAATAATATTGTTCCCTCGGGTTTTGTATAAAAATAAATAGTACAGCTCTTTCAGAGATAGCCAACTGAAAATGCTAATCCAGAAGGAAGTAGACAGTAAACATTTCAATCATGTGTAGGCCAAAGGTACATGCTTTGAGGTTGAGTGAAAGGGAAAAAGATGGAGAAGGATTCCAGAGAAAAAGAGGAAAACTTATTTCTTTTCTCTTATTACTTAGACTAATAAATTTTAAAAGGTTTTACAAGATGCTAGAATTACTAGTTACATTCTAGCTCCTCAACCTATTTTCTAGTTATCTGTCTTCATCATCTTTTCCCCTAACTTGAAGTTGCCGTTCCTTTCTACACACCTACCTTTTAAAAGTTTCTGGCTCGCGCCTTTGTAGGAAAGCTGGGGGAAAATGGAAGTTGACTGGAAGGAAGTGGTTTTTAAGTGGTCTCATTTCTCAATCAGCATCTCTAAGTTTAAGTGAAAGGAACTGGCTCTGTTTGATGTAAGTGGAAAAGTAGTTTCTTGAAAAAACACAGGAGCTGGAAGCCTGTCGCATAGGTAGAAAGAAACAGACAGCCAGAATTATATCCTGGTGTGACCCGGACCCTGGGGACTGTTGGTCTCTGGACGCCGGGACCTGCCAGGCTGCTGCCTCCACCCTAGGATGCATGTGACTGCCTCTGCTGCCACTTCCACCAGAATACATCCCTGTTTTCTCAGGCGGTAGCTCTTGTGTCAGAATCCCAGGTGGGTGCACTAGTGAAGGAAATTAGGGGAACAGATGTAGAGCCTTTTTTAGCTTCTCTCTTGGGTAGTGAGTGCTACTTCCCACCAGGTTCATAGAGCAAACAATCCCCTAAACATAGATGCTAGGCAGTGAAAGAGGGAACTATGTCCCTTGGAGGTGGGATACTGAAAAGAGAAGAAGGAATCCTGCAGGAGAGGTATATTGTTGCATCCCTGTGGTACATTTGAAGAGTGGCCGGGTGGGTGTGACACAAATTACAGTCTTCGAGGTAATACCATGGCTTGTAGCCTCTGTGGGGAGAAGTGCACAATGCTGGGCATTGTACACAAAGACCCACCTGTGTGAATCTAGTCTTATACACAAACACAATGTAAACAGTGAAATTTAGAAAATAAGGAGACACCTTGGCAGCAATGGAAGTAGACAATAAGCCATGTCAAAAGTAAGTGCAGGTCAGAGGTAGGTACTGTATGGGATAGATGAGGGGAGAGATGTGAGTGGAGAAGAATGTGAAGAAATGGAAGACCAGAAGCCTAAGCCCCCACCCACCCATCTGGGTAGCAGTGTCACTTGGAAGAGAATAAGGATAGAAACACCACTGATCTTCAGTGTGCAAGACCTTCCAGCCTTTGTACCTTCAGGGGGAAGTGGGTAGAATTACAGAACCCTACCCTGAGGGTTGGGAGTGAATAGATGGGGAGGAGCTGACCTGAAGGGCGGGTGGAGTCACCAGCAGCTATCTGAGGCAAAATACCCCATGGCATGTTGACAGCCTGGGCTAAGCTACAAGAGACGAACAGTCTGTTCTTTGTCTAATGAAACACAACTCTGATTTCCTCATCTATGATGAATTCTGCAATCCACCAAGTTCAACAGAGAATTGGGTTTGTAGCAAATGCACCTACTCTCCTCACCCCAGGCCCAGTGCCTCTAAGCACAAATATCCCTATCCTGAGAGCTGTGGAATAACTGCAGAAATGCTGCTCCCACATCTGTAACCAAGTCCCCAAAATACCCAGGGTGGCCCTTGGAGGGGAACTTCAGGAAATCCTGCCTAGAATGCCCACCTCGGACTCTGTGCTCTTCCCCAAGCCCCGGGTACCATGCTGTGTTTTGTGACACTTAGCATTTGCAGATGAAATCATTATTTCCCTTGGGATCTCCTCAGGAACTAAATTGTCTAGAAGATTAGGAATTCTGAGGCACTCATCTTTATAGCTTGATGACTAGTGATGCGCGGTGTGTAGTAAGTGCTCAATAAATACTGATCGAAACCAAATCAAGTCTCCCATCCAAACCCTCCTGTTGATCATTAATTGTCGATATTAAATTCCTTAAATGTTGTGGGAATCCCCAAGATCACCCTCAGCTTCACTGATTTGCCTGAAGAACTGACAAATGCAGAAAAGCTGTTATACTCAAGATTATGTTTTATTACACTGAAAGGACACAGCTTAAAATTAGCAGAGGTGCACAGGACACAGTTCAGGAGAGACCAAGGGCACAGTTCCATTGTTCCCTCCTGTGGATTGGTACCAACAGCACTTAATTCTCCCAGCAAGGCTTCGTGACATGTACGGAGTATTGGCAGCTAGGGAAGCCCAAATAAGCCTTGCTACCTGGGGATACTGGGGCGCTTGGTCATGCAGACATGGAGTGCCCAAGTGACTGACTGTAGTTACTTAGTCTCCAGTGCTGCCAGAGGTCAAACTGACCTCAAACACAACCACACTATTGGCATAAACTGTCTAGCATGACTCAGCCAAGTCACGTAAATGAAGGCACCCTCATCAGGCAGGGAACTCCACAGGCTTGAGTGTCTTAGGAGCCAGTCAAGGGTCAAACTTTTTCTCAGAATGTGCAGGATTTGGTCATCCCAGGCCCGCTGAGTCAACCCTTACTGCACACTAAACTACAAGAGGGGTTAGAACAAACAAAGCAAACTTCCTGTCCATGTTAAAGCTCCTTTGCAGGCATTCAAACATCCTCCATCTTCCTCTTGATCCTCTACAGACAAGCCTGGCTTGGCCTTTTGCACAGTGGGTGGTCTTCTTTCTATCTGCTTCTCCTCAAAAAGATCCCTGTGCCCTTCACAGGAGGCTGGGGTGGGGTAGGGCATGGAAGGTGCACAGGCGCTTGAGTCTTGAGTCTTGAAGCAGATCTGGACTTGAGCCCTCCATACAAATTGTGTCACTTGGCCCCCTCGAGCCATGTCCTTGTAAACTGGGTCTTCCCACACCTGCCCCCCAGACTACTTTAAAATGGAAGAGTCAACAAATGTGACAAACATGACAGGATGCCTCCCCAGAACTGTCACAGGGCCTGTTAGCCGCCCTTCACATCCTCTATGCTATTTGCCTTTCTTCTTTATGAGGAAAACTTTCCATCTTATCTAAGAAGCCACGGTTCAATATCCCACAGGAACCCAACTCACTCGCCCTATCAAGCGCTGAGGCACAGTTGCCACACGCAGAATTTAAATGCAAATACATGTATTGTATTCAACCACTATCGAGTCATTGCACTATCGTACACAGGCATACAGTGAGTTGTGTGTGATAAAATCATGCTTTGCAATGTTTTTAGTTCAGAAGAGGATGAAATCTGAGCTCTGTTTTGCAGAGTCCTTCCTTTCTTTCCCAGGAGTGAAATGCACTCGAACCTCTCCACTCCAGGGGTGTTTCTGGGCTACCTGCATTATCATCACTGGGAATCTTCCTGGAGGAACAGACTCCCACACCAGGCCTCAGAACTGAGTTTTCATATGATCTAAGGTGGTCCTAAGGTATCCACTGGTTTGGACCATTTGCCTAGGGACGTGGTTTAAAAGTTCATTTCAACACTCCTGCTAGTGCCTTTTACCTAGGGTCAAGGTCATAGTAGGCCTTCAAAGGACAATGAACACAGGTAGTCACAGGCTGAGGTTTCAAAGCCACCATCAGACCAAGTATCACTTTTTTACCTTTTTAAAATTTCTGGTTAACATGTATTAATTGTACATATGAATGAGGTTCAGTGTGACACTTCCATTCATGCACACAGCAGGACTGTTCAAATCTAACCTCCCTTTTACACACACACCATCTACTCACACCCTTTGCAATCTCCAGTAATTACTATTTACTTTCAGGTTGACTGTTTTAGGTATCAGTGTTAACTAATGTCCCTAGAAAGCTCTCTTATGCTGAGCCTAAGCCTGGCTGTTATGGTAGGCACCAGGGGAACAAAGCCAAGCAATTGAGTCTGATTTCTTCCAATAAGCAGGTGTCAGGAAAGCACCAACTCTACCACAGCTGCTTCTGTGCAGGTGTACGCAAGAGCAAGTGATTTTCAGCCACATGGGACAGCATACTTGGATTGTTCCAGGAGAAGTATCTGCTTTTGCCTGTTCTTGAGAGAGCTCCAGCGGGCGCCCCCAGTGGGTCTAAAGGCTGAGGAGTAGAAGCCCACCTCTCTGATACCACTTCATGTTCTAAGCTATGTGTTTTTTGAGGACATATTTTGTGTCAAGCATGGTCCTGGGCCCTGGAGATGGACCAGTGAATAAAACAGAAATCTGTGTCCTCCAGGACCTGACAGTATAGTGTCGGGGAGAGGGAGATTATGAAATAAGAGAAGTACATAGTAGTCAATATGGAGATAAGCTACTTAGAGAAAAATCAAGAGAAAAGAATAGAGGTAAAAGGTGGTGTAATTCTCCATGAGTAAGAAGATGGCAGGAGAGGGTGTGGGACTAATGTGTGTTCCAGGTACATGGATGTGGATGCCCCTGGGTCAAACACTTGGATCCTGAGGTAGAGGGAGGAGGAATGGTGCAGGGAGTGACAGAGCCTACTCTAAATTGAGTGTTTGATGTGACTGCATTCCACTGTGCTGTGCTCTACATTGTAAGGGTTTCACCGCACTGCGGTGTTGATGAGTCATTATTTAATTTTTCTCTCCATAGCTCAACTTTTTAGCAAGGATTGCGTCTGCCAAGTACCGTAACATGGAGTTTCCTTTGGCCCCCTTTAGCTCTGAGTATAAGCCACTCAGCATGGCACTCCAACATATTTTCGAATGGAGTTAACAACTCTTGCATAGTGAATCCCAGGCCAACAAGATCTCTAGCCATCTGTATCAGAATACACAGTCCTCTGTCTATGACAACATAAATGCATTGTTGTGTCCTTGAG